ACCAGTTGCAGCTATCTCACTTCACACTTGGCTTTACAGTGCTAGGCTGAGGGCGTACCAAGTGTCTGAGCTGCACAGTTTCCAGTGGGATCACCACCTACTGCCATTCATTTCCTCCGTTCCCCTGGTAAGGGAATTTCAATGGGAGGAGCATGTTTTGGAAGCTAAGCCTGCTGAAAATCATCTAGACAACTGTTAAAGGTACAGGAGCCTTGTCCTCTTTCACATCTGACCACATCACTTTCCCTCTTTCCCAGACACATAATGCATACTTAAAGTGAAATCTGGAATTTTCATGTGATCCCGAATACTCTACCCAAAGGTCTTAATGCATCAAACTGGCTTTCTCTGTTCTAGGCCTTCCCCCCACCCCCCAGAGTACCGAAATTTGAGTATTTTTTTCCCTCCCTCCTTGTATTGACTTATATTTCAGGACAGCAATCGCAGCGTGCAGTCAAGATCTGTCCTGGTGGGAGCCTTCTCTTCCGCACATGCAGTAATAACTACACATCTCTCCAGCTCCACAAAATCAGTTGCAGAATATGTCCAGCCACAGCTCATTCAAAAATTGGCAGAGCTGCGTAGGCTATCACATCGTCTCTTGCAAAAATTGAATGCTCCAAAACAACGTCTTTATAAATTGAAGGTAGGCAACAAGTGTGACTGCTCCATCTCATATTTTCTTTTCTTTTCTTTTTCTTTTTCTAAAAATTTTATTAGGAATTTCAACATAACCATCTCATATTTTCTAAGTGAGTTCTAAGTGAGTGTGTGAGGGATTTTCCTCAGCACCACAACAGAGGATGAGAAGGTAAAATTTCCTCTTCCATGCCATCTTGAGATTCTCATAATTATAAGCCCCGTCAGCTGATGCTATTTGCTCTAAAAATGTTAGGTGCAAAGACCCCTTTTTTTTTAACATTCACATATAGTTTGATCTTCCTTGTGCAGACAAGGATTCAGTATGAGATAAGATTCAGTATGGCAGCTTCCAATATTCCAGTGATAGCATATTACAGCACAAACAAACAAAAAGGAATCTTGTGGCAGACTAATAGATATATTGTGGTACAGGCTTGTGGATTAGAGACTAGTGTTTTGTGCATATTTGCTAGAAACTAAGTCCCACTGAGTTCAAAAGGGTTTACTCCCATGTCAATATGCGTAGGCTTGTAGCCTTATGTTCTACTGAAATCAATGGGAACTATTTCCATGAAATATTATTTAGGATTTACATAATGACCTGTCAATTTGTAAACCTGATCTTCCCCAAGTCCCCGCCCCCCCAATAATTTGTCTGGGGCAGCAGCAATAGTGTGTGGGCGCACAGAGAGTTAATAAACCACATCAGGAGTTCTGCATGGAAATATTTAGGAACTGTCTAGCATGTGAACATTAGATTGTTATCCATGTTGAGCTTTATGTCCCATTGATTTAAATAAGGAAGATATACCGTAAGCAAGGTCTTAACTCTCCCATTCATACCAAAGGAACTTAAAAGTGCTAAACTTTGAAAGGATCATGTATACCAAACTGCAATATGGCAGAAGAATGAATCCCTTGACTATGAATCCCAGCTTGGTGTAGTGGTTAAGCGCGGTGGACTCATAATCTGGTGAACTGAGTTCGCTTCCCTGCTCCTCCACATGCAGCTGCTGGGTGACCTTGGGCTAGTTATACTTCTCTGAAGTCTCTCAGCCTCACTCACCTCACAGAGTGTTTGTTGTGGGGGATGAAGGGAAAGGAGATTGTTAGCCTCTTTGAGACTCCTTAAGGGGAGTGAAAGGCAGGATATCAAGTCCAAACTCCTCTTCTTCTCTACAGGAAAAAACCAAGCTGCTATATGATCTGCTTTCCAATCCAGCGAAGACCGCCCTAACAGGTGTAATGAGCATTTCCTATTCAGCTCTGATTTATCTGGTAGGTTCGTAAATACTGTTCTTTCTGATCCTTCTTGTTTTGTGCTTCCCCTTCCCTTCAGCAAAGAATTGAAGCCATGCATTAGTCTTCAATTACTGTGCACAGGTACCGGAGCAGTACCTGTTTATCTACTTTGACGTTATCTATGTTGATGTGCTTTTGAACTGCTAGGTTGGCAGGAGCAGGGACCGAGCAACGGGAGCTCACCCCGTCACGGGGATTTGAAACGCCAACCTTCTGATCGGCAAGCCCCACTCACCTCACAGAGTGTTTGTTAGCCACTTTGAGACTCCTCCGGGTAGTGATAAAGCGGGATATCAAATCCAAACTCTTCTACTCTTCTTCTTAAAAGTCTCTGCAAGTTGGGTAGCTTGCTGAAGAGTAGCAGGGTGTCTGTCTGCCACAAGACTCGCTACTTCAGAAGGCAATTGTCAAGTCAACTGTTCCTTTAACATTAATTGCCTTAGGCCCTCAAAAGTATCCACACCTTCAGCAGAAAGCCAAAGATGAAAATTTTGAGCCATTTTCGAGGCAACCACAGAAAGACTGTCGGAGGTGGTTTTATCCCCGTTCTGGAAGGCACGCCAATAATTCTCCGCATGCAGCCCATACCTTTGCATCACCAGACGCTTGTAACACTCATAGTCCGCTGCCTGGGATAAAGGGAGGTGGCCCATTAACTCGGCTAACTCCCCACAAATTATTCAAACTTAAAAGTTGGCACATCTCTTACAGGTTTCAAACAAGAAAATAAAAACATTGTTTAACATCGCTAGCTAAACATACTCACAAACGAGAACAAAGAAGACTTAGAATGTTCGTAAGGTTCTTGGCAGATTCCGGATTCCAGGACAACAGACAGGCACTCTACATCACAAAGAGCATGCATATGAATGGCGGCTGCCAGCAAGATGGTAAGCCTGGCAAGATGGGCAGCTGCAAAAATGCAACTCAGTTCCCTAAGATTTTATCCTTTGGGACTCACGTGTATTCGGACCCAAGGACCAATCAGTTCTTCTAATTAAGAATCGCCAATGGTTACACAGAAGGGCGATAACTCAGCTTGCTGCTGCTGAACCTTGTTTGTTCTCAAGACCTTGAGATGAAAGAACATCCTCCCAATTCTCAGACACACACCAGATACACATTCTTGCTGTAATAAGGTTGATGACTCTATTCACACAGAAGCGACATCTTAGATAACCAGGTGTTAAGGCACACAAATCAACTAAAAAGCCTCCTTCCTGCAGATGGGGGGATAACGTACCGTATTTTTTGCTCCATAGGGCGCACCAGACCATAGGACGCACCTAGTTTTTAGGGGAGGAAATAAAGGGGGGGGGAATTTTCCCTCCCCAGCCCCAAAGAGCAAATAAGCCAAGACAGCGAGTGGGATCCATCCACTTAAAAGTCTTGTTGGAAGAGAAGGGTCTTTAGTAGGCACCCAAAAAAAAACCAGGGATGTCACCTGTCTAATGTTTAATAAAGGGAGGGACTTCCAAAGGGTGGGTGCCACAACACTATAAAGTTAACAAAACAAAATTGAATATTACAGATACATTGTATCATGCCAAATATTTTGGGTTTTGTGAAGAATATGCCTTGTTACACTAGTATTCAACAAACATTACTCAATTCTGTTTGAACACAAGTTTTTGCTTTCTTTATTTTACTCTTAAATAGTAAAGTACATACAAAAATCTCCAGAGGCCCTGTTAAGTCTGTTACGGTAAAAGTGTATTGAAGCATGTTACTGAAGCTGCAGTGCTTTGTGCATACCAGAATGTAAGCATGCCTGGAACATGTTTCTTATGGTATAAGCTTTCATAGACTGCAGTCTTCGAAGGTGCTAATATTTACTTGCAAGAATGGCAACTTTGTACTTTCCTCAAAATGAGTCTCAAACTAGTTACAGCAACGAGGGACCTAAAATACATTGCAAGTGCCTTATAAACTTTCCTGAATTGGCAAGCAAACACACACACACAGAGAGAGAGAGAGTGGTGGGATGTAGAAGAGTCAGTATAGAGGGAAATTAAAAAGAGACGGGAGCAATTACTGGACCTGGGGGAAAAAGTTACCGAGACAGTATTTTCTACATGAAAAAAGATCCCAACAACTGCGCAGCTTATTACTTTACCATTTCAACGGGGCTAACAATATCCCACGCAACCACCACTTAAAAAAGAAAGAACAAAAGTGGGAGCATTCCTCCTATCCACGTGTTACAGACCAAACGTCTGTACCCCTGCCCAAATGGGTGGGATAAGCCACCCACCCTTCCCCCTCCCGGGCAATAGCCAATCACGCAGCATTTTCCCTTGGCCCGCGTTAATTTAATCCAGGTCTCTCTCTGGTTGGCCAACTCCGTATCAGATTGGCAGCCCAGCTGGGTTAGCGTCACTCGACCTGAAGGAAAGAAAGAGAGCCGCTTTCGCAGGTAGCCTACACACACAAGAGAGAGAGAGAGGTGCGCGCGCGCCTTTGGAACGAAGCTTACGCGCTTCTCGCCCAGCGCCCCCTCAGCGACCGCTCCGGTGGTCGGAGGTGCCTATTCTCCTGCCACCTCCCCCCCCCACTTGGCTGCCCTTGCGCCTGCCATTGCCCACGCCTGCCGTGCTCCTAACTCCAAACGCCCCGCTGTTCACCGCCGGCTCGGCTCATTGGGCCGCGGGAGTTGGCTCTGCGCCCCCCGGGCTTCAGGCTGCTTTCCGCAAGCCTTCGGAGCCCGGCGGGAACTCCCGCCGGGCTCCCAAGGCTTGCGGATAGATGCCCGAAGCCCGGGGTGTGCTGCGCTGTACTCCCCGGGTTTCCCAGGGACCCCTCTCGCTCTCCAGGCTTCAGCGAAAGCCTGCATTCGCTCCATAGGACACACACACATTTCCGCTTCATTTTTGGAGGGGAAAAAGTGCATCCTATAGAACGAAAAATACGGTATTCACACTTTCAGAGTCAAGAAGTCTACAGTTTAAAGAAACAGATACACATTCCCCATAATTCTCTAGTCTTTGGTTCTCCCACAAAGACCTTCCTTGGCTTGAACCAAAGTTTCCTTGCTAAGATTTCCTAACATCACTACAGAGTGTGTGAGGGATTTTCCTCAGCACCACAACAGAAGATGAGAAGGTAAAATTTCCTCTTCCATGCCATCTTGAGATTCTCATAATTATAAGCCCCATCAGCTGATGCTATTTGCTCTAAAAATGTTAGGTGCAAAGACCCTTTTTTTAAACATTCACATATAGTTTGATCTTCCTTGTGCAGACAAGGATTCAGTATGATATAAGATTCAGTATGGCAGCTTCCAATGTTCCTGTGATAGCATATTACACCACAAACAAACAAAAAGGACTTCAAGTGGACAAGCTGAAGCTGGATAGTCTGTTAGGACCAATGCCTAAACCAAGACCGCTCATTACCTGTAACCAATAAAGTTGTGGCCATATTTAGCCCATTAACCTTAAATAATTGTGTCATGTGTCTTTATTTCCACTGGAGGGGGGGACTTGCCACGCAATCTCAGAAGGGGGGTGTCCTTAAGAGTGAACCAGTACTAAAATTATTTTCCAATGGACTTTAAGGGAGACTTTCCAGAAGTTTGCACTCTTGAGATTTCCACGTTTTGTGAAATTTCAGATATTTATTTGTTTTATTTGTTACATTTATATGCTTTAAAAAAACAGGAACCTAGTACTCCTATTATAGTGGTATCGAGGATTTTGTGTGGGGGATGTTCAGTGTAATAATAATAATATTATTTATTCCCCGCCCATCTGTTCTTCCCTCCTTCCCTTGTGTGTTTAGGACATCAATGGACAGCCATGCATTATTTGTCCCTGGCACAGGTTTAAAATAACTCTGGCAACAGGTGAAGGATTGTATCAAGCAATAAATCCAAGGAAGCCATCTCCGAAACCCAAATGGCAGTCAAAAGGAGTAAAACAGAAGACTCATAGAGTTACTGTGGACAGCGGAAATGTTTGTGACTCTTTCAGATACAGATAACAATATAGATTCTGACCATTATGCTAACATACACAATAGGATTATACTGCCTTCTAAGAAAAAATAGCATATTCTGTGCTTCATAGTAAATGGCTTTAAAATAACAACGAATGTGAATGTTATCCTTGCTGTCTAAAGAGCATTCAGCTTCTAAGTGATATGAAACTGAGCTCCAGTCTCTCTAAAAAGGGAGTTGATCAGAGAAGTATTTGTGCCTTTGAGAATATACAATGGTACCTCAGGTTAAGTACTTAATTTGTTCCGGAGGTCCGTACTTAACCTGAAACTGTTCTTGACCTGAAGCACCACTTTAGCTAATGGGGCTTCCTGCTGCCGCCGCACCGCCAGAGCATGATTTCTGTTCTCATCCTGAAGCAAAGTTCTTAACCTGAAGCACTATTTCTGGGTTAGCGGAGTGTGTAACCTGAAGCGTATGTAACCCGAGGTACCACTGTAAAATAAAATAGAGCATGCACATCAGCAGAAACTTTTTTTAAAATAATATTTTTTATTAGTTTTTAGCCTACAAAATTTTAAAGACATAGCACACAAATTATAACACACATATTCTTATTTGGACTTCCTTCAGAAAATGACAGAACCTGGCCATTAACTGCTGCGCCAAACAAGATGTTGTGCAGTACCTCCACGTGCAGTTCTGCCCCTCTCCTGCTGCAAAATGCAGATCCCAAATCAAAAGAGAAGAAACGAGCGCGGAACGAGATGTGCTTTACTCTGTACTGTTATCTCTAGGGTCCCGCATCCGTTTGAATGAGAACAGCGGGAAGGGGGGGAGAAGCACAGTTGGTACATTCCACATCCTCCTCATGTTTCGACAAGAGGAGGAGCGAGTGACCAGAGACCGCGTTTGGTATATGCCAGACCTTTGAAACCTGTCTGGGCTACGATGGTTTCCTGCCGAAATCAATGAATGGCGCGGTCTGGCCTGGTCTTCTCTCTCTCCTTCCCCCGCTCTAGCAGCAATGGTTTGGCCCGAATCGGAGGCTGTAAGAAGCGGCCGGAAGGGGAAGGGCGTCTCTTTTCCCGCTCTCGGCGCGCGCGAGGGAGGTGGCGGTTGAGAGAGTCGCTGAGGGCAAATACCAAGCGGGGTGCTTGAAAAGCGCGGGAAGAGCTGTGGGGACTGGAGCTAACCAAGTGAGTAAGGCGGGGGGGGGAGAGAAAGAGGGGGCTCATATGTGTGGCAGTTGGCAAGGGAGGTGGGAAACAGAGGAGGAGCGCGGGCGGGTGAGGCAGACATGGAGGTTTCGCTGAGGGGGGAATCGAAGTGAGCCGGATTCCCACAGCCTCTGCCATTTCGTCTCTCCCGCGAAAGAATCGCGGGCTCTGCGCTTTATCTCCTCGCGGAGAGGCAGTTCCCGGCAGCCCTTTTAAACGAACCGTAGCGCCCTGAGGAAGAAAGCGCTTCCTTCGAAGGCCGCAGCCTCTGTCGGCGAAAGCTCCGCGCGCGCCGCTTTAAGCTTCCTCAGGGCCCCGAGGTATGAACACCTCCCCCCCCCCAAAAAAAAATAAGCCCGGCGGTTGAAAGTAAAGGCCCTACGCGCTCTTTTTTCTTCGCTTGCCGCTGGGGAACTGAGCAAGACGGGCATGTAGGAGGCCTTACCGGCCCCTGAGGGAGCTCGTCCTCGCGCGAATGGGCGCGCGGAGGCTGCTGGGCCTTTTAGCTGCTGTTGCTTAGCACGTGGTGTTAGTGGGGGCACAAAGGCAAGTACAGTGATACCTCAGGTTAAGTACTTAATTTGTTCCGGAGGTCCGTACTTAACCTGAAACTGTTCTTAACCTGAAGCACCACTTTAGCTAATGGGGCCTCCTGCTGCCGCCGCGCCGCCGGAGCACAATTTCTGTTCTCATCCTGAAGCAAAGTTCTTAACCTGAAGCACTATTTCTGGGTTGGCGGAGTCTGTAACCTGAAGCGTATGTAACCTGAGGTAGCACTGTAATGACGGCGTAGCGTGGCCGCCTCGGATTCGCGCCCTGTCGAGCCTCAGGAGGCGGTGTTGGTTGGGCTTGACGGTACAGGCTAGCACGGGGGGGGGGGTCACTTTTAGACAGGAAGCGGGGATATTTTGCACGTGTGGCAAGTTCGCTGTGAGCGCAAACACGTGCACAGCAGCTCTTCTCGCGTTGGTTTCTAGAGAGAAAAGGGTAGAGGTAAATAAGATTTTGTGAGAAAGAAGCCATAGAGGAAAGAAAAGTGGAGGATCTTTTTCTTACAGACAGGCATATAAAAATTCAGTATGCTGAACTGCAGGAAATGTCTCCAGCTCTGTAATGTAGGTAAGCTGTGTGTACAGTGGTACCTCGGGTTACAGACGCTTCAGGTTACAGACTCCGCTAACCCACAAATAGTACCTCGGGTTAAGAACTTTGCTTCAGGATGAGAACAGAAATCACACCACGGCAGCAGGAGGCCCCATTAGCTAAAGTTGTACTTCAGGTTAAGAACGGACCTCCAGAACGAATTACGTTCTTAACCCAAGGTACCACTGTATAGGCATGCAGGTGCAGATCTTTCCTTGCTTGCTTAGTTTAGCTTGCTTGGTGTCATATTTGCCTTCAGTGTTACCCGTTCGTTTTGGTTGCTAATGAATGTGGTGTCAGAGAAGGCATAAAACAAATCTCCCCCTTGCAGCTTTTTCCTATGCTAGGAATTGTTCCTAGCAGGCTTGCTGTATGTGGGACATCTCTAGCTTTGTCTGCCTGTGGCTCCTTGAAAGTCTTATGTGTAGCTTTCTTCTTTGTGTTCATTTTAAGTTTTTTACAATCTTAAAAGCTCCTGTTTGTATGAAGACTTAACGCTTCAGCTTGACTGCAGTCCCTATTTTCACAAAGAGCAAAGGACCAAACTAGACATGACACAATTAACAGTTACCTGAATGTTGTTGTTGTTTTTTAAAGTAAATTGGTGCAGACACCTGAGCAGTGGATATGGGAGGGACCCCCACAATGCAGTGGCATAGTGTGTAGTTTGCTCCAAAGACTAATTTCATGACAGTGCTTGGTTAAATCAGCCTCTTTACAAACTTCAAAATTACTGGGTTGTTATCCCTGGCATATTCTATATGTTTACTAAGCCACACTGTATACCAGCACAGACAAAGCTTTCTCTGATTCAAGGAACCTGTGGGTAAAAACTGGTGTATATGCACTTCTCTAGAATTTTCACTCTTCCTTGCAACCACATGGATAGGTGACAGTGTAATTTGCTAGTTTGCTCAGAAGTACATTCCACTGTTTGGGACGGACCCTGAAAAGGGGCTATTGCTAAGGGTGAACTCCACAACCACTTTTGCAAGTGAAACTTACTGGGATTGTGACCTTATGCACTAAATGTGCAACATGCATGTTCCCTCTTACAAGATTGCATTATGTAGTTTCTCTCTGTAACTGAGGGTCTGTGTGGGTTACTTTTAAAGCGAAATGATTTGCAGTCATACAAAAATGGCTGGTTCATTGAATCATTGTTTCTTTTTTATTTTTCAGGTATAGGCAAAACCCACACAGTTTTGACGAAACATTTCACTTCAGAATATAGGTATGAGTACATTGTGTTATTCTATCTTTATACACTTCTTTAGCGGTCTGAGAGGCCCTCTTGAGGGTCATTCTACACCTAATCACCTGGTGCCATGTGCTCTCAAAACTCAGATTTTCTTCCCCAAAAAATAAGTGTAGATACCTGTGAGATAACCTCAAATTAATTTTTTAAGATTAATCTGAGTTGTGAGAGCACAACTGAGTATTAAAATACAGTGGGTGATTTGGCATGGAATGACCCCAATAGTAATAATGTTCATGTGTTTTTCACATACCGTATTTTTCGCTCTATAACACGCACCTGACCATAACACGCACATCGTTTTTAGAGGAGAAAAACGGGGGGGGGGGAATTCTGAATGAAACAGTGGATGTATCATTTTTGTGCTTCATGCTGTGGCCACAGACATGTGATCTGATGGTGAATTTGGGGTGACCCAATGCAAAGATCCTGAGGATCCATGCTTTGTAACCACGTTTTTGCACCATTGCAGCCCCAAGCAACAGTGGGTGCGTGATTTTTTGGGCGCAGGCTGTAGCCATGGACATGCTGTGTGATCTGATGGTGAATTTGGGGTGACCCAATGCAGAGATCCTGAGGATCCATGCATTTTAACCACGTTTTTGCATCATTGCAGCCCCAGGCAACAGTGGGTGCGTGATTTTGGGGGGGCAGGCTGTAGCCATGGACATGCTATGTGATCTGATGGTGAATTTGGGGTGACCCAATGCAGAGATCCTGAGGATCCATGTGGATCCATGCTTTGTAACTACATTTTAAGTGGGGAGGGAAGGAAAAACACAGAAGGGACAAGGAGCATGAGAGGGGTGTGCAGAGAAGCAGCTGGCTAAGAACGCAGGAGAGGGATTTAACGGGAGGGAGGAAAGAAAGAAAGGCAAAAGTTCCCCCCACCCACCCAAGCCAGCCCTCTCTCTCCCTCTCTCCCACCTGCATGTTTTCTGGCTGCCTGCGAGGAGCAGGGAGAGGATTTAGAAGGAAGGACGCTCTGCTTTCCTTTCTGCTTGCCTGGAGGGGAGGGGATTTGCCTGCTCTTTGTTCCGTTTGAGCAAACACAGCAAGCGGGTGGGCAGTAAGACCCTGAGGCAGAATGTAGGAAAGCAGCAACTTCCTCTTTTCAGGTTTCCCTTCTCCGACAGGCGATTTGATTTTTGCCTGATTTTTGTTCCTGCGCTCGCCCTAGTCGGTTCCAGGGACCACACATTCACTCAGTAACACGCACAGACATTTCCCCTTCCTTTTTAGGAGAAAAAATCTACGTGTTATAGAGAGAAAAATACGGTAATACTTATATGGTTGCTATACATCGTATTTACTGTGCACTTCAGAGTTGCACAAATTCTTTGGGTGTTTGCCTTTTCTGTTCCTTCTGCCATAGCTGAGTAAATGCTTTGACTTTCCACCTCAGTGTGATCATTGGCTATGTTCACCCTGGCCTAGGCACACATTTAGTCCACAACACTTTGACATTGATCCACATTTTGCAGCATGTAATTTTGCCTTTGTGTTGCCCATTCATTACTTTCCCTAGTGAATGTGGTGTCAGAAAAGGCATATATTAACTTTAGCTGTCATACTACCAGGAGTTGGTTATGTACCTTCTCTGTATTTCAGCTAAAACACACCATTTGTGTTAGGTCATTCTGTGTCATTTCAGTGAGGGCATGTCACCCTCCGTCTCGGATGTTGATGAAATTTGGTGTACACCCTTCCCCTGTGGTTGGAAGAAACCCCCTTAATTTTTTCCTCTATCTCAAATGGTTTTAATTTTATAGCACTTCAAAGTTTCGTTAAATCTGTTGTCTGTCCCTCTTGAGACCTTCAGCACAAGATACCCTTGTGCACATTTTTCTCTCTCCATAACCATTGATCAGGTCTCTGAAATTTTACACAGAGCTCGATAAAATGATGAGATTTCAGAGAAAAATACACCAGCACTCAAGATTTTATAAATGCCTAAAAACTTATGCTATTATCACAGTTTATTACCTTACAAGTTCAATGATCCTCAGTTTCTTTGCTGTAGCCTCCGTATCAGCTGCAAGATTTTCATTTTTTTCTTCCATCAACACCATACACTTGTTGGGAAAGAAGTATCTTCTGCCACTTATTGTCTTTGGGGGTTGTACAATACCAAGCGTGTGAGGAAATGGTTTTACGCAAGAATTGTCACGGCTAGGCCAGCAGAATGAAGGCGAAGGTCCATTTGGGTGAATAAATTTTACAAAAGCATCTCAATCGTCTTGATTATTTTCCGATAGCATTCCAAAGTACCACAAATGATCATACTTGCAAGTTACAAAACATCCAGGATACGGATCATCAGCATTCACAGGAAGCTTGGGAAGGCTCCTCAAGTTGAAAGTGAGGAAGGGTTCTTTATCAGTGCTCATTCTTCTTGCTTCAGTTGTGCCTGTAGAATTCAGTGGTTTAAAGTTGTGGAAATTGTGAGTTCCAGGGAGTGTCTGCACATCTCTGAAACAGGTTTCAAGGGAACAGCAGATTATGTCTGTCTTCCCTTGCAATATAATGGAATTTGGCCTTTAAAAAAAAATCACAGAAATCAAAAAATATTTTTGGAGTAGTAATCTGCTTCTCAAGGGATCTCTGAAGACTCTTTTCTGGCTAGACATTTTGTAGTTCCACCAATACTGTTGCATACTGACTTGCCATGACTAGTGGCAAAGAAAGACCACTGTGCATTTATTTGGAAATCTTATTGATGATGACAGAGATTTAGGAAGTTGAACTTATTTTTGTACTGCGCTGCACAGCTGTCACGAAAGTAGTGTATCTGTTTGATGTGAGGAAAATTATCTTTTATATATTTCAAAACTATTGAGTTTTATATACCATGTTCATATCATGCTTTAAATCATCAGAAACAGTTCAATGGGATGAGATCATCTTCTCTCCGTCAGCACTTTTATTAGGGCAGTTCATAAAAAACGTTTATGAACTGCTCCAAAGGTCTTCTCTTACTACAATAGGGATTATAGAGCTATATCTAAAATTTACTGCATAACAGTTAATATCTTGACCCTCCTCCACTGAATTGAAATTTCAGCCTTCATGACATAGGAAAACGGCCAAGTAAACAGCTATTTTCGTCACTTTATGACCAATTCAGGAATAGCATTTTTAAGAGAACAATAAAAGATGCTGAATATTATTTCCTTTATCCCAGTTATTTTTGATATATGTTTTTCTCTTATGTCTCAAAATAATATTCTGTCTTCTTCATAGGTGTGTGACACTAATATTTTGATTGAAGAGTCTAAGGGCAGTCTGTAGTAAGTGAAAGACATTTAAGGAGTGAGAACAATAGAATATTAGATAATGGCAGCTTCATCATCAATAGTCACAAGAATATCTACAGATCAACTGGTGTTTGGTCAGCTGGCTGATTTGCCTGTGAGCTTGCTTCCAACAGAATTGGATATTGATACGTGCTTCTTGCATGAGAAACAAAAAATGGATGATTGAAAACTCTGCAAAAAAGGAGCCAGACTATTATTGCAGAGATTGTTACAAACATGCATCCATACCAACAGTCCGAAAAGACACAATTAAGGCCCATGTTCTGAAAGTGTCTGAAAAGTGCCAAAGCATAATCAGAATACCGGCTGTCAGAAGGTATAAGAATCCAAAGTGTCAAAATCTCTATGATCTTTCAGACTTCAAAAATAAGATGTGTTTCTGAAAGGTATTTCCTGTTTGTTTGAAGTTGTTGACAATGAGAATGTGCCAAAGATAGTGAATTTCTCAAAGATCAGTGATCCATTCAGAAGATGACCATAAGTAGTACAGTGGATAAAGAGGCTACAAGGAAACAACAGCAGAAAGTCAAGTAAGAAAGCAGAGGAAACCAGGGCTGCACAGGAACGACAACGATGAGAATCTCACTTTCAAATTGTTGCTGCTGATAATGTTGATATTTAGAGCACTTGAAGATAGGACCTTGTAGTCACAGAAGGTAGCTTACAACTGCAGGCTATATGCTTGTACATTGGAACTGTCAAAGGTTTTAAACATTAATTTTATATATTATGAATGTGTGTCCACCTATGTGGTTTACTGTGAAGTATCAGGAGCTTGCAGTTAATGGTCCTCAGAATCTGTTTTTCTTAATGCAAAGGTCTCTGTTAATGGAAGATCAAACTGCTAAGAAAATTGCACAGTGGTGTATTCAACAGAATGCTTTTATGCCCATCCAGAAAACATTCTGTTAGCAGAACTAGCCTCTTCCCATAAAGCAGATAGCACTGATGCTGTGGAAACTATCATTGCAGCCAGAGCTATAGACCAAGATGTAGCTTCTGTACGTCTCTTTAGGGTGCCTACACTGGATTTTAAAGCAACTAAGTGGTAGTTCATGATTAAATGGAGTGAAACAGACACATTGGAACCTCCTTTAATTAGGAACATGTCAAATACCGAACTCTTGGCTGTACATAGTAGCGGAACCTCTTGTGCCTAAATTAAAGTGTCACACACAAATGGTGGAGAGAGCTGTCAAGGAGGTGACAAAAGCAAGCCAGAATGTAGTTGGTATGAAGCCTCGTGATGCTACTATAAAGACATCAGTGGAGAACTAGGCCAAATACCCAAAACAGTAATCAAAGGATTTTGTCCCAAAATTCACATCTTTATTTTTATTTGTTCTTGAAGTAATGTAAATGTAACTTAACATGTCATTATTAGTATTAAATTATGTAATAATAAAAGTTGGTATTCAATACCCACGTATCCAGTTGCTTAAAGGTAGAAATAATAATTATTGTAGGATCGTATGAGTCACATTTTGATTTAAATGTCAATACTATCATTATTAAAAGGTTTTTTAAGTACTGGATTTTGTTGTATCAATTTGTATTCTGCATCTTTTATTGTTCTCTAAAAAAAAATGCAATTCCTGCAAAATAAAACTGAATTGGTTATAAAGTGACGAAAATAGCTGTTTATTTGGACATTTTCCTATGTTGCGAAGGCTGAAATTTCAATTCAGTGGAGGAGGGTCAAGATATTAACTGATATGCATGAAATTTTATATATAGCTCTATAATCCCTATTGTAGTAAGATAAGACCTTTGGAGCAGGCATTAGTTTTTTTTATGAACTGCCCTAACTTTTATAATGCACTACTACAGGATGCAAAGTACAAGAATCAGAAGTCCAGTGGTAGCCTTGTACCTCATCTTGAAGCCTGCATACAATTCTTGGAGGTTGCCCAGTATTAGCTGCTTCCTATGATATACTTTTCCAATTCTGACCACATCTTTCATTCCTGACTTTATTCTAGACTTCTCATCACTGTAATAAAAGTTTAGAACCTTGCTTACAGTTTCAGATGGAAGCTTTTTTCCACCTCTGGTATCTGGTTCAGCTAAAACTCCTCTTTCTTTAAAAAGCTTCTGTGCCTGGCAAACTGAATCACTGGGGAACAATTTTTTTTCTTTTTCTGTTGCATGAGATTTTTCAACTGTTTTTATATGTTCTTTCAATGCTGATTTCAAATCTGAAATCGATTTTTGTGTACATGCTATAGTTATCTTTAAATTTCTGACTTTTGCCGATATGTCATATTTGCACTGGGAATAAGTGGACAATGACACATTGATGTACCCTAACCAACTTAATTTTTCTTTATTTTTATAGTTTTGTAACCTAAATATTTGTATTTTTCAGATCGGACCATGGCTTCTTCAAAATGTGTAAACAACCCTGATGCCTTTTGTTATGTATGTGGCTGCTACGCATTTCCTCATCAAAGACGCAATATAACAGCGTTTGTGAGGCGTGCCTATAAAAGCTATTTTGAAATTCCCCTGGGCGACCAAGACAAGAAATGGGCTCCGCATATTGTCTGTCACAATTGTGAGGAAATGCTTAGAGACTGGACAAAAGGAAAATGGAGGAGTATGCCTTTTGGGGTTCCTATGGTTTGGTGAGAACCCAAGGATCACACAAGTGATTGCTATTTTTGTCTGGTCAATATGAAGCGTATCGGCAAGAAAAACCGACATGCTGTCGCCTATCCCAGTGTTCCTCCAGCAATTAGACCTATCCCACACTCTGAGGAACTCCCAATTCCAGTTTTTAAGGGGTTTGTCTCTTCTGAAGATGAAGGAAGTGAACATGGTGAGGAAGATCATGAGGATTTTGGGAAGGTGCATGAAGAAATGGCTGTAGAATCCGAAGACGACTCATCTGAGCAGCAATCAGCCCCACAGCAGTTTAGCCAACGGGAACTGAATGACTTAGTGCGTGATTTGGGCCTCTCCAAGAAGGCAGCTGAGTTATTAGCATCCAGGCTGCAAGAAAAACATCTACTGCACCACTCGGCAAAAGTGACATATTTCTGAAAGAGGGACCAGGATTTTGTGGGCTTCTTTTCAAAAAACAAGCACTTTGTTTACTGTCATGATATTCCAGGCCTTCTCTGCCAATTAGGCATTACATCATACAATTCAACGGAATGGCACTGATTTCTTGATAGCTCTAAGCGCAGTCTCAAGTGTGTTCTCTTGCACAACGGAAACGTGTATGGAGTGGTTCCCGTTGGTCACTCATTGATGATGATGTGGAGGTGAAAATGAGTGAGGAAGATGAAGGTGGAAAAGAAGGCTGAATTTAATAAGACGCAATGGACGCCTACGGACCTGGAAATGCACGGAATCCAGCAGAAAAAGAAAGTGACAGTGTGTGAGCAAAAAGAGAAAATTAAGGTACAGCACATAGTTATGGACTATGCCCCACTGAATTCAGTGGGATTTTCTTCTGATTAAACATGCCCAGTCTTAAGTTGAAAGAGGAAGAAAACATGCTTGGGCAGGATATGAAGAGAAACACAAATGTGAGGAGTGGGAGCAAGGTACAGGCACTTTACTTGAAGTAGGCTTCATTTACTTTCAGGTAGGTAAAGGTGGCGGCTTTGCTGGTTGTATTCCAACAAACAAGTGAAATAGCTTATTGGAAATAGGGTAGGTAGGCAGGGTTAAGGCACAGTGGCTTGTCCATTACATCAGCAAAATACGCATGTGTACCTTTACGTCTACACCCACTTCATTCTGCTCCTGTTTTGCCAGGGTCTTGTTCTTCGCTGTTCATACACTCTCCTAATTTTTCCCATCTCCTGAAAGCAAGGCTTCAAATCACCATGGTGAGGAGCAGGACACACCTCCTGGACATGAGAAGTGCCATGAGAACAGATGATTTTGGCCCCATGACAACAACTGTCTCACCATTACTGATCATCCATGTGGGGTGTAGCTATTTTAACTGCATAGAACCATGTGTGCCCCAAAACATATTAGCTGCTGCAGATACTTCTACACTTCTGCTTGATGGGAGAAAGTGGTCTGCCCAGGCCAATGAGTAATAATAATAATTTATAATAATTTATTATTTATACCCCGCCCATCTGGCTCTGTTTCCCCAGTAAGAGGTCATTCATAGCTATGGACCTGGTGATTGACCTTGCTGCTAGGGCTGCTCCTGGATCCACTGCAGCATGGCAGGCAATTTGACAAGTGGATTAATGCTCTGCTCTTGGTGCGTTTGGTGAAACAAGCATCAGGTGGTGAAGCTATGTTAGATAATTAATAGTTCACAGTGACAAATGTTTGATGAGTTTCTACATTAGAAAAAATGCCAAAATAAATTTGGCTGGGGCAACCTTCACAAAAATATGGTCACTCACAGTTAGTGGACCAAATGCAAGATGGCCACTTAAATTCTCTAAAAATGAATTTGCCACCCTTTTCACATAACTGAATTGATACAGCACATAGTATGTAAATACAGGTTTCCAACATCAAGAAATTAGTTTGACATCAAACTAAAAAACAAAACTTAAAAATAAGATGGCCACCAGTTAATAACTACTTCAAAAATTAGGGTAACCCAAATTCATTTCTTGTGGCACATTTTCTGTTTGGTTGCCGGATAATTAACAGTGGATTGTTTTTTTCTTTTGCAGGAATATGTATCTACAGCATCAGCTACAACATGCTAGCAGAAGCCTGTATTAAGAAGGAGAGGGAAAGTAATGTGTAAATATTACCTTTTGGATTGTGATAATTACACCTTGAAAGTAAATAGGGCAAACATGCCTTGCTCCATTGCAACCACTCACCACCAGACCACAGACAGACTCTTGTTGATGGTATATAGTTTCCAACTATTGTTCCAGTAAGCTTTGCACACAGGGGTTTAAAGTTAAAACATGGATGCAGATTGGGATTGAAAATTAACACCTGCCACTGAAGTATCAGTAGTTTAACATGATGTGGCTTATTCTGCTCAACTTCTGTATCAGAGGTAATTTCATGTATAGGTATAAAGAAACATCTGTACACAGCATCTGTGTATGTTCAGTTTAAAAATAAATCAATTTCAAAACACCATGGTTGCTAGATGCGTCTTTCTCATCCATAAACAGTGTGATACACACAAAAAAGCTGCCACCGTAAAAGTTACTAGAAGAAAAGCAAAACCAAACTAGTGTTTGTTGGCAATCCAAAGTTCTCCCCTGCAATTAAGATGTTCTGCCGTTTGCAGGAAATTAAAAATGGGAGGATCTCACAATTGTAAAACCAAGTGGACAGCAACAATGAGCTAGCAGGAATAGAAAATGAAGGGTTTGACCTTCATCCCTTGTTATTCAATCATCCAGTTTGCTTGTTTCCTTGGAGTGGAAGGATGGAGAAATGAAACCTGTACAGTGGTGCCCCGCAAGACGAATGCCTCGCAAGACGGAAAAACCGCTAGACGAAAGGGTTTTCCGTTTTGAAGTTGCTTCGCAGGACGAATTCCCCTATGGGCTTGCTTCGCAAGACGAAAATACCTTGCGAGTCTTGAGATTTTTTTTCCGCTTCCCCCCCCCTTTATCTAATCTGCTAAGCCTTTAATAGCCTTTAATAGCCTTTTAGCAGCTAATCACCTAAGCCTTTAAGCCTTTAATAGCCGCTAAACAGCTGATAGCGCTAATAGCGCTAATCCGTCAATGGGCTTGCTTCGCAAGACGAAAAAACCGCTAGACGAAGACTCTTGCGGAACGGATTAATTTCGTCTTGCGAGGCACCACTGTACTCTTTTGATATCCAGAGTTGGTGCTATTGTAATGCCTCCCTCCTTGCCATTCTTTTCATCTGTTTCTAGGCCTTGTACACTAGGAAGCAACATCTGGCGGGCCATATGCCCCTCCCTGCTCCTAAACATTGGTTGCTTAAGAATATTTCATTATATCATAGCACCTTAAGTCAAAGGTGGTGGCAACTCATTTCAAAATACTATAGCTACACCTTTTACAGCTGAACACTTTTCTCTGTTCTAAACTCTATAATTTGATGCCTCATTCATAGCTCTATGAACTTCCCCAACCAGATGCCCTGCAAATATTTTTTACTTCATTCTTATGATGAGATTTGTACTCATTGGAAGGGTACCAGGTTAGGGAAACCTGCTCTAGAACCATAGTAAAAGATCCTAAAAACATCGGCAACAATAGCATGAATCTTAAGGACCTAATTTTAGGACATTAAAAATTGGAAGGCTGCATACAAGACAGTCTGCTTTTGTGTAACCAAGCAGGTTGTAGAATTCACTGTATAAAGTTCTGATAAAATAATCAACATTGCTGTGAATAAGAATGAGATTGCTAGGCAAGTATAGGCATATGAATTACAGTCCTTACTCTTAAATTCAGAAAACATTTACTATTGCACATTTGGCAAGTACATTGCTTTTGTATCTTTGCTGATACTTCCATTTTTTGGATCAAGTCACCCAGGGCATTGTCCATGGTTAACAATCGGCTGTAACTGGTTTTTGGAACTGGAGTAATTATTATCTAAAGCCTCTACTTTCATAGATCTTCCAGTAAGCCAACAGCTGTTTTGTTCAATCCTCTGATCTTATTGGTGGTGTCCTTCAGAGCAATTTGCCTCGTCCTCAAGAAATATTTCATAGTTTAAATCTTTGCTTTAATTTAGGTCAAAAATCCCATCTGTGCAGTTTAAGTGTAGTTGGACTTCTGTACCATTTGAAAATGCCTAGGAGTAGCATTCTCTCACAGTCCTTTGCTAGAAGAATCAAGTCTCTGTCTTAAGCCGTGAAGCTTGTACAATTTTTATTGTCTTTGCACTGTGCTTTCCATCCAGGTTGTTGATGGGTGCCTGTGCCTTTTCTTCTATTAGACTGTCCTTAGATCCATTTCGCCTCTGAAGAGAAAGAAAATGCATTACTAAAAGTTCAATGCACAACCGATGAGAATTAAGTCACGTTCTGTGTTCTGGTTACAGTTCTGCAAAAGGAATTACTGTATTTTTCCATATATAAGACAATGCTTTTTGCTTTTAAAATGTAGTCAAAAATTGGGGGACAACTTATACATGGATGGTGAATGCACAGGGGCTCTGGTTGTGGGTCTGACTCTGGTGCGGGAGGCCTGGGTTTGGGTTCAGGCTCTGACATGGGCAGCCTGGACTCTGGCTCTGCCTCGATTTCTTAATTTTGGGTAAAAAAAATAAATAGGGGTTTTCTCATACAAGGGGGAGTGTCTTATACACGGGAAAATACGGTACTACAGTCGTACCTCGGAAGTTGAACAGAATCCGTTCCAGAAGTCCGTTCAACTTCCGAAATGTTCAACTTCCAAAGCACGGCTTCTGATTAGCTGCAGGAAGCTCCTGCAGCCAATCAGAAGCCGTGGAAGCCCTGTCGGACGTTCGGCTTCCGAAAGAACAGTTGAAAACTGGAACACTCATTTCCGGTTTTTGATCGACTCCCAACGATCAAAATGACCAACGTTCGGGAGCCGGTACGACTATACTCCCAATATAAACACTGATTTTCTGAAAGCTTTCAAACTTCAACAAACTAGCTAATGACTAAATTGAAATTAACATTGCAATGCATGGGATTGAGAGTGCGTCTGCGGAGGGATCCTAAATTAAATCCATTAAATTTAAATGTGGAGGTGAGGTGGCATTGGAATTGCTTGGCATTTGATTTCAGCAACATCCGAATACTGTTTGGTAAGTGTTAACAGCATATCATCCTAACAAAATCAATTAGGATGGAGGCAGGTGGCAGGATGGATGAGTTGGTAAATGACTGTAAGAATGAGGGAGTGAAGTTAGGCTAGGACAGGCATAGGCAAACTCGGCCCTCCAGATGTTTTGGGACTACTACATCCCTAGCTAACAGGACCAGTGGTCAGGGATGATGGGAATTGTAGTCCCAAAACACCTGGAGGGCTGAGTTTGCCTATGCCTGGTTGACTCCTTTCCTCTGTGTGCTGCAGTCCCAATGAACCACCACCATCCCTTGAGAGCATTTCAGGTGTGGTATTTAGCACTAACTAGAGTCACACACAACAATTCTAACTATAGGAAGCCAGTGTAACTTTCACTTGTGTATGTTACTCCTATTCTAAGCTCCATTCAGGACTGTATGGGACAGGCTACTGCCAGCAGCTGAATGTAGGTCCAAGTTGTAAGACCTGGGTCCTAGGTCACATGACCTAAGCTGAATTAGATTTGGAAGCTGCATAAGTCTCTCCTTGTCCTGCCACTCCCCCAAAATATGCAACTTAAAATACTCAAATTACCAACCTGGTGAGATACTGCAATGGTGGGGCACTGAGCATCTGAGGAACGGGTTACAGGTAATGGAGGTACAAGGTCTGTTTTTGAACTGAAAAAGAAAAACAAATGGCAAGATGTATGGCACTTACACGTTAAGAAAAGTTTTGGGGTTAAAAAGTTATCTGCACATGAACAGGCATCCTATCAGTGCTTTTCTCTCAGTAATAAATACAACTCAAGGGGATATATAGCTGACTGTTTCTCCTATAGCCCAACTGGAACCCAAACAAGAACAACGATCTTCGTTAGACCCCCAGTATAGGATAGAATTCAATTATTCTAACTTTGAAATGTTCTTAAGTGTTTCTAATTAAGGTTTAACTGCTGATTTACGGTCCTGTGTTCCAAGGGTTGCTTCCCATATTATGATACAAGTGAGGCAGTGACCTCTTTTCCTTTAAGCAATAAAGGAGGAGTAGGAAGAGGCCAAGTGTTTTCATATACTGCCCTGCCCTTTCCTCTAACAGGATAGCACTTCTGATACAAGTGTATTGTGCTTCTGGATATGCAGGAAGGTCCAACATCCTGTTGGCAATGGTGTAGAACAGGCATGTCCAACTCCCAAGAGACTGCGATCTACTCCCACTTTTTAAAAAATGGCAGTGATCCACCCATTGGATTTACAAAAGTTGTTGAGCTTTTTTTGTCAATAATCGTTCAGGATCACAAGATCGACCTGGATCGACCTTGGGCGTCCCGCAATCAACCAGTAGATTGCAATCGACCTGTTAGACAGACCTGGTATAGAAGATTCTAAGCAGAATGAGGAGTTAAGTAACAGGCCAAGGTGCAAACCACTGATCTCTCCCACTCAACTTTTTTTCCTGAGGAGTTAGCCAGGGAACATAAAATATTTTAACAAGTTGCTGCACAATAATTTCGTTAAATTGGAGTTGGGGGTAGGGATAGGTAGCATTTATCATTAAACCACTGGCAAATTAAATACTTGACCTACTTAACTTCTGACAGAACAGATCTCTCTCCGTCAGAGCACTGCGACCGTCGATACTGGCGATAACTTCGAGGGGAGTGGGAATGTCTGATGCGAACAGGGTCGCCTTGAGTCCTAAAGTGGAATTAACATTTCCAGGAGCAGATTAGTATCACAAGGGATTCTCATCAAAAAGAATACAAAAGTTGACAACCCTGGAAAGTTGTTTAACCTCCACGATCAAGTTCATTTGCATCAGGGTTTCCCAACCATGGGTCTCCAGCTGTTTTTGGACTACAACTCCCATCATCCCTAGCTAGCAGGACCATTGGTCAGGGATGATGGGAAATGTAGTCCAAAAACAACTGGTTGGGAAACCCTGATCTAGTCCAACCTCTTGCAGGAATATAAAGCTGTCCCATATGGGGCTTGAACCTGCAACCTTGGCATTTTCAGCATCATGCTCTAACCAACTAAGCCAAGCTGTGTGGTGTCAACTGTCAAGTGGAATGTTTCAAGTTATGGGAACTGTTATCACCAGTGGTCAGCAATGTTGGGAACTGCCATCCAAAACAGCTGGAGACTTTGGGAAGCCCTGATTTATATTAAGAATGTATAGGAAATTCATAAAATTATCAAACAGAATTTCCCCTCCATACAGTAGCCTCAGCTCTGAGAATAATAATAAAAAAAAACACAACTAAAAGATCCACACCGAATAAGAAATGCTACCAATTAGTAATATTAGCATTGGTGAGCAAATGTTGCCAGCAAATATCTTACCCTATATTCAATTTTTCCTTCCCTCTGTAGCCCATCCTTACCCTCTGACTTCTTAGGAAAGAGATTTGTTTCACTTGTATTCCACCTTTCCTCCAAGCAACTCAAGGTGGTGTACACAGTTCCCTTTAGGTTAAGCTGCTTAATTGTAAGTAATGCGAGCAAAATTATTTAAAAATATATTGGGGTGTGTGTACGCACACAGGCTTAGGTAGGTGTGAGTTGGGGTTGTTTGACTATGGTTCAGACATTGATGACTTCAGGATTGGATTACTGCAATACACCCTGTGTGCATCCTTTGTATTTGGTCTGGAAAGTAGTTAGTACAGAGTGCTGCACCATGATTTCTGACAGAACCCGTCAACATGGCTTTTCTTCAGCTGGAACTCACGGAACTCAGTTCCGGCACCTCTCAGGTGGGCGCCGTTGCCATTCTAAGAGAACAAGGGATGCGTACATGGTGAGTTCCAGCACCTCTTTTTCTAGAAAAATAGCACTGTTTGTCAATATTTAACACCCTTGTCATAGATTGGGACTGGCTTCCGATTTGTCACTGGGCCAAATTCAATATGATTTATGTATAAAGCCTTCAACTGGTTGGGACCTGTTTACCTGAAGGATCTCCTCAACCCATATGTCCTCAAACTAACTCGTAAGTGCCACATGATGTTCCTCTTGCACTGACAAGAAGTTGATACTTTAGTATGACAATCACCTGCATGTTGAAATTCCCTGTATTATTTTTGGTGCATGCTATAAACTTTGGATGCCTACCTAGGCATGTAATTTTGACATGTGCTTTTTAGTAAGTGTAAGTGTTTTAAAATTACTGTTTTTATTTTCTGTTTCATAAATGTTTATGTAGCTTTTTTATTTCTTAACTGGTATTTTTACTGACTATTGTAAACGATCGTAAACTGCACTGAGGTTTTTTGTTCCAGTAAGTGATATATAAATTTGGTTACATACAAATGTAAATTTTTCAAAATGCCATCGTGATGGATTATGGATTACTATGCACCTGGAATCAGAGCGGATTTAAGGCAGCTACTTAATGAATATTGTGTACACATGATCGCATATATTTTTTCCTTTGCGACAGACACAATCTCACTTGAAGGCCAGAGGCAAGTTATGATTCTCTCAGCCTCAACGTACAATGAAATGTAAGGTGATGGTGGTAAAACTGGGCTGCTTAGAAGGCAGCAAACTGGCAAGACAGACATATTAGGAAATCCATGGTATTAAAAATAATTATGACTTGGCTAAGAAAATTATGTGAATGCAGGTGTTTTTGAGGAAGAGATTTATGTTCCGTGTCCTACCTGCAGAAGTTTACCACTGTTTGTTTATTTCATTCTCAGTGATGTGACAGAATTGCATTGTGATGTAAAACGTGATCCCACACTTGTCAGAAGCACTTGCTCGCATCTCTACATGGAAGTCCCAAATGGGCTAATTTCGAGAATGAAACGGCTGTTTGATCTGAAAGGAGCAAATGTGCTCTGGCAACTGATGACTGTGTGCTGAGGAAGAAGGGTCAAGCGGGTCAACCAGTCACTTTAGGGGATCAGAGGAAGAGTAAATATTAAAGGGAGAGTTTATAAGTGAAGGTAGCTTGGGCTGAATTTCCCCCAAAGCTGCTCTAGATTTTCAGCATTATTCTGTGTGCTGTTCAGCAAACTTGACGGGAGCATAGGGGATGCCACTGAGAGCCAAACTAGACAGGATGGTGTAAGTTCTCTGTGTAAATCCAGGTTGGTCCCAACTGCACAAGGTGGGGAGGGTGGTGGGTTTTGATGTAAACAGCACAAGGTCTGTGATGGGTGATGGGTAAGGAATGTGAAACCCCTTCGCTCTGTCTGTTGTTATGGTCTGCTCCCTAAGGTGATTTTCTTTCAAAGTGATATGTGGGTAAACCATATGCAGAGTGAGTCTGCCCCTGTGGCCTGATAGAGGTGGAAACCGTCTCTCATGTCTTGCTATGATGTCGTTTTTATGAGGATATACGCTCAGTCTTTATCACCCCTGTTATACAGAAAATTCCAAGTGGGTCTGAACCTCAATGCTTTAAATCCCTAATAGAGGAGAAGGATCCAGAGATCACGCTAAGGGTGGCCAAATTTTGCGCGGCTGCTATAAAACTCAGGGAACAAGCTGTGCTATTACAAAGACTAAGGCCTCAGATGCAAGCTCTAGATAATATTTTAGAGACTAAGACCTAAACCACATTTATAATGGCTGTCATATTCCTATTGTTTATTGTTATGTTTGATAGTTAATTCGGACTTAATTCTGCTGTGTTTTGTGTTCGCTTGGTACAGTATGTGAATCTGGTCTGGGACCATAATAAATTTCATTTCATTTCATTTCATTCAAAGTGAGGCTCACTTCTGCCATTAAGGCTTGCTAGGGGGTGGAATTTGTGAGGGAGTGGCAGACTGCAGAGAACTAAGCTACAAGTGGAGGAGCATTCTTAAAAGTACAATTTATTGGCAACACAACACATATACGCCTGGCTGAAATGAAATGGAGCTCAGAGATTCACTTCTGTTTAAGGTCTGAGCGATGTTCACAGTGGATTGTGCCTCATTATTTAAGACAGAACTTTGCAGCTCTCTCCAATCTTGCATGATTCTTTCCAATACAAATCTCAGAGTTCTCTAGGAGTTCTCTGTTCTCTAGGAGAAAAAAACCAAAACACAACTTACTCTATTTTAGTATATGGAATCTCTCTTAATTGTTCTTCAGACATGCCAGATGGGTCCACAAGCTCCTTTCTAGAAAAGGATTGCACACAAAAAATAAGTTATACAACCACATGCATAAAATTAGATCTGCATTGTTCTATGGAAGCTCCCCACACCTGCAGACATACTTACTGAATGTGTTTCCACAATTCTTCCTTAGCTTGCACGTCTGGACTTCTCCTACATAAATGCAAACAAAAATATGTCATTTCATCAAATGCATAATCCTAGAGCAAAGACAAAACCCTGAACTAAGAATAGTGATGCAACTAGCTAACATTTCTGCAGAGAATTAAGCTTTATGTTTTCATGACATGGGGTGGTGTTCAGAGTACACCCACTGAAATTAACAAACACGACTAAGCTTGATCCATTAATTTCAGTGGGTTAACTCTGAGTAAAACCTAGCTGAATATGGAAATGTCCTATTCTGACTAAGTAGTTTGAGTCTGAACCACAGTTTGTCTTCCTCCAGGCAACTGTTTGACTAAACTGCTCATAAAAATGGAACCACTTCAGCTTTGTTTTCCCCTCCTATGTTCTATTAGATGGAAAACAAATGGGGGTTTTTTTGGAGAGCAGGGTTAATGGTGACATCTCAGCTGACAGTCAACTAAAGTGTGCATGTGCATCTGTTGTAATAATACCATCTTCATACAAAGACTACCCAGCACAAGAAACTGATGCCCCAATTTCTCACTCTTTTTACCCCAAGGCTGTCAATGCCATGGATTATTTTAATGCTGTTTGTGTCTTTCACCTTTCTTCTCCTCCTCATTCATTTCCCCCTCCCAGTGCCTTTGCCTTCCCTAAGGCAGAAGCCTGATGCATTACTTAACACTGGGGGAAGGGTTAATAGTACCTTCCAGCCCTGAATGTTGAATTGCTTTATTCTTCCTTTTGGTCCCATTCATGCAAAGCAGCAGCAGCAGCTGTGTACTCCGCACATATCCCCAGGGACTGGCAATCCCTTCTGAATCTATAATACTCAAGGCTCCAGGGAATGTGCATAAGCAATCCATGATTCACTGGGAAGGGGGAGCGAATGGCTTTGATAATGTTTATGTCCCAGCTACCATGGTGAGGGAATGCCCTGAGGCTCAGTGTGCTTGGCATGTTCACAGACCATGCTATCCACTAGATTATGTGATATTGGTACTTCATGAAAAATGAAACTGATTCAGGTGGGCCCTTCTACTGACAGCAGCCATAGGGATAAGAACAGAGGTGCCAAAATGGCGCCCACTAGTTGTTGGCAATTTCAAATTCCCCCAACCACAGCCAGCGTGGCCAAGGGACAGGGATGATAGGGGCTGTAATCCAAAATCTGGAGGGCATTATAGGTTGTAAAAAGACACAGGGGTGGGATAAACTTCAGCTTTTGATTATTCTAAGAAGGTTCATCACATTCATCTGCACTCAGTGGCTTAAATGCAACGATGATGATGATCATTATAGTATAAGTCATTGCTCACTTCACTAAATAAGCCTACATGTGGCTCTGCAATGTAGCCCATGCCTCCTTCATAATAAATGGGCTGTTTAGTTCTGCTACTTTTACAGTGAAACCATATTGAGAAATCTGTATTTGGACACGGTGATGATATTGCATGCATGCTATAAGCCCCACCTTCCCTTTCAAACCACCCTTATGTGAGTGAAAAGAACAAATGGTTAAGTTTGTGCTTATGTTTTAGGAAAACTGGGCTTTGCTGCATGTTAGCATGCTGCCAGCGGCAATAATACGCATAGACACACGGTAAGGATGTAGCAGAACAGAGGCAAGGTTTTACTCGACATGTCCTGCATAGTATAAAATATTGCCATTAAGCCTCCACTGAAAAACAGAATGTAGTTGCTCTCCAGTTCCAAATGGCCTGTTCTTAGCAAGGGATGAGGAACCTGTTGCTGGACTGCAACTTCAATCATTCTTAGTGACCATGCTCGCTAGGGT